ATTCTACCAAATAGAATAAGTCAGTTAAATCCAAGAATTTATTTAAATCAAATAAATCACATAAACCAAGTAATTAGTACAATTAATCAATTATTGAAAATTGGGCTGTTACAACCCTCCCCCACTTTAGAAATTTTCGTCCTCGAAAATGTTACCTGATTCAAACAACTCTGGATACGACTCTCGTATCCTAATCTCCCAAATTACCTCCACCAAAGGAATCCCTTTACCTCGAAGTTGCTTCTCGTTCATCAACCTGAACTAGCAATGCCTCAACAGTCAAATCATCTCTCATTTGTACACTATCCATCTGAATCAATGTACCTCCTCAGCTTAGACACATGAACACATCATGCAATTCCCACAAGTGACAACGATAAAATAGTCTATCATGCTACTTTTCCCACGCTTCCGCTGCGCCATTCTAATACAGATCAACAAAACACAGTGTGTGCTTCCGAGACTTCAAAGCTCGACCAACACCCGTCACCACTGTAACTCTCAAAACACGTCTTTTCTTGGATCCTTTTGATCTTTTCAGTCGTCTCTTACACAATCTCAGGTCCGAGTACAACACTCTCGCCGAACACACATCAACACAAAGGAGTCCTACACCTCCTACCATACAAAGCCTCATACGATGTCATTCCGATACTTGAATGAAAACGGTTATTGTAGGTAAACTCAACCAGCGACAATTATCTACCCCCTGATCCATCTTGATCCAACACACAAGCTCTCAACAAATCCTTTACATACTGGATAGTTCTCTCTGTTTGCCCATCCGTCTACGGATGCTAGAAAGAATCCAACTTCAACATGACATTCAAAGCGTCTGCAAAACTCTTCCAAAATCTCAATGAAGAACTCAGATTCCCATCTGACACAATATTCGACGGCATCTCATCAAGAATACCAATAGTCGGTCTCAACATACAAAGTTCAACTCCATAAGAAGTCTTTTCGCAGACCAAACTCATATCCCGAATTTGCTTAATCAGTTCTAACTTCATTACCATCATCATCGGTATATATAGAGATTTCCTCTGCCTCATATTTAACTCTTTCAAATCAAATAAATACCTTAATCTCGTAAGATCACCAACCATCTCAAATCTCAACTAAACAATTGAAGCCTCCAACTCCTGCACAAACACAACAACAATCAACTCTAAATCACTTGTCAGATAAGTCCCCTTAATATACTCGACCTCACACTCTGTTGTCGTAGCACACAGACCAGACACAAGTCTCAAAACTACTCAATCAATTTAATTCCTTGACCATCCAAATAGACATATAATATGGAGCTCTCAATACCGGATTAGTTTCCGTAACTAAGTCAATCACAACTCCACTTCACGTCCTGGCTGTGTACCACTATCTTGTCAGGATAACTTTCAGACAACCACAATTATTCGGCAAACCGCCAACTTCCCACTTTCATTAACACTTAAAATTCCCATCAAAATTAAACATCTCAACACTGTCTTGTGTTGACTCATCAAAATAATTCTTAAGCTTAACTCAAGACAATTCACTGCATCACGCCATATAAGCTTGCAAGATACATCTATCCCCTCCAGCACAATCCCAACTATAAGAGCATTCAACCATACACTGAGCTACAACTCCACACTTGCAGCATCCTGGAGAAGCACAAGTTTCTCCCCCACTTGAACCATTCTCACTTCTGCAGACAAAGGTTAGGCAATAAACACGTACCGACAGTGTTTTCACACACATGTCGCATACAAGGGAACAAACAACATTATACAACTTGGTCGGACGGACCGACCTGCTCTGATACCACTATTGTAACACCCTTCTAAACTCCACGGAAAATATATGAATAATTAGAGTAAATAATCATGCATTCACAAAAGGGAGTCACACATAACTTTCAAACATCAAAACCACCAGTCATGCTCATTAACACTTCAATAAATAATCATGTTTTCCAAAGTTTCAATTTGCATGTAGCAGCGGATTCAATTTATTTTCATAATTCTCTTAACAGAACATTCATGATCATCACATAATTCAACATTACTTAGGCTCCAAGGCCAACATCATAATATTCCAATGAATATAAAAACATAACATAGAATACATAATGTATCTCTAAAACATAAACCAACGATCCTAGTGTTACATGACCAGAGCATGACTCGACCCAACATAATTAAATTACAAAACAGCTACGCCGCTGGCGACTTCGCAACTACAAGCAGCTCTACTCTCGATACCTGCACGATGCCAGATAGGACATCATTCCAGCAGAAGGGTGAGAAATATTATCATAATAATCAATGCATATAATTATATATCTACAATCTTAGGATACACATAATCATCATTCTCACCACAAGTCATCCATATACATCACAATGTATATACAAATACATGGATAATCACCAAGCATATTTCCTCATACATACATCCACAATTTCAATCAATTCACCTAAACACACACATTATGTTTAATTCACCATAATTCTTATAAACATATACAATCATGTTTATTCATTAATTCCTCAGTCAATATCATTCACAATTAAACATTCACAATTCACATTATTGCACATAAACATTTACAATTATGTTTATTCATCACAATTCATCATAAAGTATATATATAACACCAAGCATATTTATCATGCATATATCCAAAGTTCTCAATTCAACAATTCAAACACAAACATACTTTCATATAACAATGATATCTATACCATGTGACTCATATAAAACTCATCAATTCTCACCAATCCCTACTTGGGATTATGGGTACATCGTTGTACCCCACCAGGAACAACATCTCGGTCATTCTACCCCGGTGATCATTTCACTAGGAACGACACATAGTCATTCTACCCCAGTGAACACCAACACTAGGAACAACATCATAGTCATTCTACCCCAGTGCGTACGACTGTATCACGTATACTCCACTAGGAACAACATCTCAGTTATTCTACCCCAGGGAGCACCCCACCAGGAACAACATCTCAGTTATTCTACCTCGGTGATCATTTCACTAGGAACGACACATAGTCATTCTACTCCAGTGATCACCAACACTAGGAACAACATCATAGTCATTCTACCCCCAGTGCGTACGACTATATCACGTATACTCCACTAGGAACAACATCTCAGTTATTCTACCCCAGGGAGCACCCCACCAGGAACAACACCTCAGTTATTCTACCCCGGTGATTATTCCACTAGGAACGACATCTTAGTCATTCTACCCTAGTGTATACGACCATGTCATTATACCTCACCAGGAACAACATTTGTCATTCGACCCCAGTGATTACTCCACTAGGAACAAGATCTTGTTATTCTACCCCAGTGAGTACGAGTCTTACACATACACATATTTTCAACATCATCATCACATTTACCAAACAATGCACATATATTCACAATATATTCTCATGCATCCTTCACATACAATCGTATACAATTATTATCCATTCACGATTCAATACCATCACCACATTCATCAAGCAATCCACACATATTCACAATATGTTCTCATGCATTCTTCACATACAATCGCATACAATTATTATGCACTCACAATATCGCGCCAGAGACAACGACTCAATCACATTCATCATGCACTTTTAAGTAATTTAAACAATGCATATATTTGTCAAAAGACCACATATATGAATATTGGTTAATTGATGATCATGGTTGATACATTAATTGAATGTAATAAGTAATATTACTTATTACATTATTAATAAGTACCAAATTTATGATGCTCTCTTCTTATGCACACCAATTTGATTAATCGCCGCTGTTGCATATATGTTCCATTTAATTTTAATTATATTGCGCGTCAGAAAATATATCTTTTCAATAATATGCATGGCAGCTTGATATTTCAAACATAGTTAGATTAATTATTTAAATAATTGACATAATCAATTATTAATAAATTATAATAGAGTTAATTGTTATTAAATATTAATTATTAATAAAATATTGGGTTAAATATGATTTTGGTCCTTATAAATATCTCACATTTGATTTTTAGTTCCTATGAAAAAAGACATATTTTGGTCCCTACAAAAATTTTATTTATACAGTTTTAGTCCTTGTTATTTTCTAAAATTTTTAAAAATATTTAATTACGCCTAAACTTTTAAATATTTGAATAATTTTTTTCATACGTGATTAGATTAGTATAAAATGTTTCTTTGTCAAAATATATAATTTTTTAAATTAATAAGAATTAAATATAAGTTTTTTAAATTTCAAAAGATAATGATAAAAGTAATGAAAATTTCGACTTATAAGTCAAATTTTGAGTTTTTTTTGTGAGAAACTTTTTATAACATTTTAAATATATATGCAAAATAATGATTCAAAAATACACATTGGTTTAACAGTAGGACTCAAACTACGTACATAATTATTTTGTAGGAACAAAACACACTATTTTTTTATAGGAACCAAAAACATATTTAACTCTAAAATATTTGATTGAGTTTTGTGAGTGAGATCATTATGATAATTCCAAAGTGAATTATATGTCCTCTATCACTTAGTTATTTAAGCATTGTTTCATTAAATGATTAGGATATTCTGAAAATTCTAAATAACAATTAGAACAATAATCCTGAGGTATTCAATTGACAATTTCTTAAATCTAAAAAAATATAATGTTTATTCATATTCTAATTCTATTATAATATATGTTATAATTTGTCTCTATAATTCTTAAAATCCTTCATTGATGATTATTAAACTAGTTAAAACTTGTTTAAAAACAATTTACTAGTACAATTTGACATGAGTTGTCATAAATGTAACTCTTATCAACACTATTAACAGTTTAACACTATTAAGTGATATTAGAATATCTCAGTGCTAAGAAATTGCAACTTTCAAAGTGGTTTCGTTTACTTTGCTAGCAATAAGATTTTCTGGAAAGGAACGGACAGCGCCAATGGAAAGAACACTTGTTAGTTCATAATAGTATGAAACAATACGCCACAAACATCCACCAACGAATCACCAATGCCAAATCAAACCTCACACGCGCCACAAACTTCACTCTAAATCAAACCAACTCTGCAAAATCTACTACTAACTTTGTCACACACTGTAATGTCAAGATTTCAGAAAATGGTCGAAACGGCAACGTTAAAGCAGCAGAAACAATATTCCACAGAATGCCCCGTAAGAACACTGTCACTTGGACAGCCATGCTCACGGTTTATGCCCAAAACGGTCAAATTGCAAACGCCCGTAAACTGTTCGACGAAATGCCTGAACGAACAACAGCTTCTTACAATGCTATGGTCTCTGCTTACATTCACAATGGTTGTAATGTCACCAAAGCTTATGAGCTTTTTACCACGACTCGCGACAGAAATGCGGTGTCATATGCTGCCATGATAATGGGTTTTGTTAAGGCAAGGAAGTTCAATATGGCTGAAAAACTCTACCTTGAAGCTCCACGTGAGTTTCGTGACCCTGTTTGTTCCAATGCTTTGATATGTGGGTATTTGAAAATGGGTGAAACAAAGGAAGCTTTGAGGGTTTTTGAGAATGTGAGGGAGAGTGAGAGGGATGTGGTTTCTTGGAGTGCTGTGGTTGGTGGTTTGTGTAGAGATGGGAAGGTTGGTTATGCTAGAATATTGTTTGATAGAATGCCTGAGAGAAATGTGGTTTCTTGGAGTGCAATGATTGATGGGTATATGGAGAAAGGTTTGTTTGAAAATGGGGTTTGTTTGTTTTTGGATATGAGAAGGGAAGGCATTGTGGAGGTTAATTCAACTACCATGACTATAATGATTAAAGGGTGTGGAAATTGTGGCGGGGTGAAAGAGGGAATGCAGATTCATGGGTTGGTTTCAAGGTTGGGATTTGAGTTTGATAGTGTTTTGAGTAATTCTATTATTACTATGTATTCCTTGTTTGGTTGCACCGACATGTCAAAGAAAGTGTTTTGTGCTATGGCTAATAAAGAGTTAGTTGCATGGAATTCTTTGATTTCTGGATATGTTTATAACAATGAGGTGGATTTAGCTTATGGGGTTTTTGAGAGGATGCCAGAGAAGGATTTGATTTCTTGGACAGCCATGATCAGGTGGTTGGCAAAGGATGGAAGAATTGGAAAGGCCATTGAACTGTTTAATACGTTGAAAGAGAAAGATGATTTTGTATGGACAGTTATTATATCTGGTTTTGTGAGTAATGAGGAGTACGAGGAGGCTTTGCGTTGGTATGTTCGGATGAATCAGGAAGGGTGCAGGCCAAATCCTGTAACCATTAGTAGTGTTTTTGCTTCTTCAGCTGCTTTGGTGGCACTGAATGAAGGGCTTCAGATTCATTCCCATGTTCTGAAGATGAACCTGGAACATGATCTTTCAATACAAAATTCTCTTATATCATTCTACGCCAAATGTGGAGACATAACCGATGCCTACAAGATCTTCATAGACGTCGATGAACCAAATGTTGTCTCATATAACTCAGTCATCAATGGCTTTGCACAAAATGGCTTTGGCAAAGAAGCTCTCAATATGTATAAAAGAATGCAGAGTGAAGGCCTTGAACCCAACCATGTTACTTTGCTTGCGGTTCTTTCAGCATGTACTCATGCAGGATTGATTGAAGAAGGACGGAATTTATTTAACACCATGAAATCTCATTACCGAATTGAGCCAGAAGCTGATCATTACGCTTGCATGGTTGATCTACTAGGGCGTGCTGGTTTGCTTGATGAAGCTTTTGATTTAATTTGTTCGATGCCGATAAAGCCTCATTCTGGTGTTTGGGGGGCTCTTCTTGCTGCAAGCAAGGCTCATCTACGTCTTGACCTTGCTAAGCTTGCAGCTCAACATATTACCGAGCTGGAGCCTGCAAATGCGACACCTTACGTGGTATTATCCAACATGTATTCTGCCTCTGGTCAAAAGATTGAGGGTGAGTTAGTAAGAAAGACCAAGAATTTAAAAGGAATAAAAAAAAGTCCAGGTTGTAGTTGGATAACTATTAAAGATAAGGTTCATCTGTTTCATGCAGGGGATCAATCACACATGAATATTGAAGAGATAAAAGCAATAATATTGACTATAGATAAAGGGATGCAGTGGTTGTATTATTCTGGGTTCTGACTTGAACTTTAATACAGTAATTATTAGTACTAACCATGTAAGTGAAATTAGTGGTATTAAATATATCTGTATCTTCTACGTGATATGTTTAGATAATGATACGAGACATGCTGGAAACACAGACCAAGGCGAGATGTTTCGTTATCCAAAAAGCTCTTAGTTCTGATATTATTCATTGAGTTTTGCTATAACTTATGCTCTAAGGACACACGTTAAAGAATACGAAAGTTAGCAAAAGTGCTCTAAGTTTTGATATAACATATTGAGTTTTGCTAACTTGTGCTCTGACCTCTAAGATGTTTCCTTATCAATTAAATTTGATAATCTTGGACACTTTAATATGGTATAAATCTGGAGACCAAATACAATTTTGTGTTCGTATGGAGCTGATCAAGAGAAAACATATGAAGACCTTGACTTGACACTCTAAATGATGTGTTAAAATTATGTGTCTTATAAAAGAGAACCTTAGAGCTTAGAACATAGAAGAATTTATGTGTTTCATCTAGGATCAGCTTATTTAAGAAAATAGTTGTGTCTTACAGGAGCAACTACCTAGAAGTATCTTGCAAGTATATAAGAAATACATGTTCACCATTTAAAAGAAAGTTTTCGTGCAAAAGTTCGAAAGTACTGATGTCACATACCGATTCAAAATTAATTGGTATACATAGAAAACGACCAACTCAAAATATGCAATAAATCAAATGTATTATGAAAGCCTATTTCTGAATCGTCTCATACATGTCATTGAGAGTACACCTCATACATGACATTGAGAGTACACCGCATTGGTTTTTTCATATCCAAAATTGACTGCTGCTACCTATATCCGTTAGGGATGCAACACTCTAAATTTTGATTTCTAAAAAGCATCTTATTTTTATGGTTACGGTTGTTTCCTTGATTTATTGCATTAGATAAAATAACATGGATTAAAAGATATTTGGATATTCTGATGCAACATGTGAGATATGTTGTTCTAGCATGTGTGCAATATCTGGTTCCGTATGTAGGCCATGATTTGTGTGTGATTAGTGTGTTTCTGTTTTTTTTCTATAGCGAGATTCTTGTTGTTCTAAAAAACTTTGTTAGCAAGTTATTAGTGAGATTTGTTTGAAAGATTTAATAAATATCAAATCTAATTATATGGAGATTTAAATTCAAATCAAATCTTTTTGGCGGAGAGTTTTGAAAAACAAATCTTAACTAAATCTCCTTCAATTATGTTGATCTCAAATCAAATGTCCATTGGAGTAAAGTCTAACAAATGTGTTATCATTTAAGAAGACTCAAACCTAACATTTGAAAGGGTGTATAAAGAGTTGAAGATCTTTGTGTTAGGGTTCCTATTTTAAGTCTTTGTTTGTGTTGTTATTTGTTCACCTCTCTAGCGCCTAAGTTACATATTTAAAGACATAGATGTTGGTTTGTTAGTTGAGTAGTAATTCAACAATTCTTAATCTGATTATAGTATTGATCACTAGGGTTTGTGGTTGAGAGAAAGTGAGAGGGGTTTTCATATTGAGGAATCTTAAGTAGAAAGACACAAGAGTTGTTCATCTAAGATACTTTGTATTAAGACTATTGAGAGTGAATTTTCTTTCTTGGGTTGAAAGCCCCTCCCCCAAACGTAGGTGACGTTGCACCCAACTAAGTTACCAATTTTCTTGTGTTCTTTATTTGCTTTATGATTTATTAATTGTTTTCTATCATCTGTCAAACCAGATGTAAGATGTTGAACACGTTGCTTAGACATATGGTCTAACATTTGTCCTTGCATAAAAACAAATTTTCAATTGGTATTAAAACATACATCCTGTTCTGTTTGGGAGAGCTTTGAGGAGAATTTTTCTACTCAAATTGATAACTGTAAACATGGAGGATCAGGCAATGGACCACTGTCTTAGAATGATTGGCTTTAAATAAGCTAAAAGGCAAAGTGTATTAAGTATCTTTCACCAACTTCAATTTCTTCACCATTTTTTTCATCATCGGATTCTTCATTTTGATCACAGTCACAAATGTTTCTAATCTCAACTTCTGCTGCATCCATTGTCTGTCATTTCTAAATTTCAAATTTATCCAAGACCACATATGTGTTGATGTGTACTTTTTTGTCAACGGGATTATATAGTTTATAGAAACATTTTGTATGATCTCTATGAATATCCTCTTTTGACTCTTGTCTTGCAGCTTGGTCCTCCTTTGAATAGATAAATGTTTGTGCTAAATTGCTCCAAAAACTCTCAAATGCTTCATATTTGGATTTCATGCACACCAAAATTTTTTTTGGTACCTTCATTTTTAACCTTTTAGTGGGACATCCGTTTAGAATATAAGTGGAAGTATTAACTTCCTCACCCCATAAATGATGAGACATACTCTTCTGTTTTAGGCATGCTCTTTGCCATGTCAAGAATGGTATTATTTCTTCTTCCTGCAAGACAATTGTGTTGTGTTGTATAGGGTGAGGTTACTTCATGTTTTATATCTTCACTACTGCAGTATGCTTCAAACTCCTTTGATGTATATTCTCCACGTACACCATTCCTTAAGACCCTAACTATTTTGTCACTTTCCTTATCAATTAAGGTTTTAAACTTCTTGAAGGTTTCAAAAGCTTCACTTTGAACCTAATGGTATAAAGCCACAACATCCTTGTGTGTTCATCATCAAAGGTGATGAAGTATCTACTACCTCTCAATGATGGTACCTCAAAGGGACCACAAATATCATAATGCACCACTTTAAGAGCATCTCTTAACCTCTTAGAAATTTTTGAAACAAAATATGATCTACTTTTCTTTCTCCCTAGGAAAATTTCACAAGTCATACTCCTTGCGCTAAGTTTAGGCAGACCATGCACCAAGTTCTTAGAACTTAACTCGCTTAAGCCTCTAAAGTTCATATGTATATACCTTGTATGACACAACCATTCTTGTTCATCACTGCTTGAGAGACATACTTCTTTTCCAGTTTGAACGCTCAAGTTAAAGATTTTGTTCTTTGACAATTAAAACTTTAGGATTAATTTCTTACTTATAGCACACAGTTCGAGTGCATCACCAGACATAGTGATTTAGAAGCCTTTCTCCACCAATTTTTAAATGCTTAACAAGTCGCACTTAATTCTTGGTACAAAGAGTACTTTTTTAGTAAAGGCATACCTTCCACCTTTCCTTTTGATCAGTATATCACCAATACCTTTTTCTACAAGGCAACTACTATAAACAAGTTTGACACTATTTTTCTTGATTGAATCAAAGTTAGTAAGCCATTTTTTATGTCATGTCATGTAGTTTGAGCATCATTAATCTTAACATAATGGATTTCCTTCATAAGTTGTGGCAATTAGTAGCACTGCATTAGATTCATAATCATCATGTGCTATGTTGACCCTTTCATCTCCTTTTTGAATTTATTTCCTCCTTCTTTCTTGTACCAATATTTATTTGCAAAGTGGTCATGCTTCTTACAGTTGTAGCATTATATCTTACTTTTGTCAAAGTCTTTCTTTTTTATCTGATTCTTGCCATAGCCTCTTCCTCCTCTAGAAGATTCAACCTTTTCTTCATTTCTTTTCTTTGTAGAATTGTACAAGTTTGGACTTTTGAAACCTCTTTTGATTTTCTTCTTTAAATTCCTTTTAATTCATCCTTTTTCATCACTTGTGCTTGCAATGCTTATTGAGTTTCTATTTCAGTGCCCAATACTAATCTCTGTCGGCTCATCAACTTCTAATGAATTTTTCAAGTCCTCCATTTTCAGTTGAGATCCTTTGATTCCCGAATGATTACTAGAATAGAATCCAGCTTTGATGTTAAAGATCTCATCACCTTTTCAACCACCTGCCTATCAGTGATTTTTTATACCATAAGACTTTATTTGATTCATTAGTCTAATCAATTACGAACAATAATCACTGATCTTTTGGTTCGCTTCCATTTTCATAAGCGCATACCTTCTCCTGAGTGATTGCAACTTCACTTACTTCACATTCTTTCCACCATAATGATAGTTTTCTAGTATCTATCATACTTCTCTTGACTTAGTGGCCTTTGAAATCTTCTCTATGTGGTAAGAATTCACATTTTATTGAATGTAGAATAGAACCTTGCAATCATTATTTCTTTATTCTTTGAAGATGGTTCTTTGCGTATTAAAAGGATCTACCCCCAAATCTTCATAACCTTCTTGCATAATTTCACCACGTCTTGTGCTCTAAAAATGACTTCATCAAGGAACTTAATGTCTCATAATTTATTCCATAAAAATTTAGAATATTGGAAGAAACACCACCATTAACATTCATCTTTCTTCTACTTTAAGAAAACTCTGCAAATCTTCTTCACTATGCATTTCCCTTATGTTTTCCTCACACTTCACTCTTGTTTCTCTTATGGACCAACACCAATCGACTTTGGCGTTGCAACCAAGCTCTAAATGTCAATTAATGGCGTAACAAGTTGTTTCTTGCAGTGCAAGAAAACAAAAATGATACAGAAAAAATGAGAGAAAGAGAACGAACTAAAAAATGTTTATAACTCAAGTTTCACATAAGATTTTGAATACTATTACATTACATGAAAAACATAAAAGGGATTGGATTTATAATTACTTGTGATTTAAGCAATTTACTTGAGTCACAAGTTAACCAACCAACTAACTAACAAACTAACATCTAGTTAGTATTAAACCCTCATTTAAAATTAATTAGTATAATATTTAATTTTCTTAATTCATGTAAAAAAATTAATATAATTAGAAATTTACTTATAATTAAATTATCATTCTCTAACCATATTAAATAATTAAAACACTAAAAAAAATGCGTTTGATTGTGGAGGTTATTTTAGAAAGACTTTAACAAATCCTCTAAAATTGAATTAAAAAGTGAACATCCTATGTTATAAAGTAAATTTTTAGATATTTTAAAGGGGTTTTAGAACCCCCACAATTCGATACAATTTTTTCTTATTGTTTTCACGCTTCCACTT